TTATTTCCATCTCTACGTCACCGTCCTGTCACCTCTAATGTCACAGAGGAGAGGGGTTTGCCTCCATGCACTCCGACTAAAATATCTGAATTCAATTCTATTTATACTTTTTAAATAATGTGTAAGTTGTTGAGACAGTTCGACATTCAAAAACATTCCAGTTTTTATTTTTTTGTTGTTGTTTTTTTTGCAAATTTCCATAAAGACAAACAGTTTTACTGGTTGATATTCAGCTTTAGTTCCTCACTCGCTCTCTTTATGCAGTGTAAATATTCTCCCAGTTAATCTATGAATATTTGAATTCAACAGTCTGTCATTTATTTTTAAGAAACAAAGCAGCAACACACTTTATCAAACTATCATCTTCAAGAAACCAGCTCTAAGATGTAAACTTACAAAGATAATCAGAGCTCTGTCAGACACTGACAGTGACATTTCCCCACAGTTGATCCACTAACACACCCTGCAGGAACAAACTGTTCTGATACTACAGCCTAAATTTACAACCTCAAAAACAACACCTATATTTTTTATCACGTTTTCAACCTGATGGAGACAGTTTTGCCTTTTTTTAAAAAACTTTCCACCACAAACACTTCATAATTAACAGGTGAGAGAGCGAAGTTGGTCCTTACCTGAGAGTCCCAGCAGAGCAAAGTCTGTTTCTGATGGATCCACATCAGACAGCAGTATTTGGTCCATGTTGTTTTCCTCTGTCCCATCTTCATCTGCCCACTGAGCTGCACTTTTCCTCCAGCCTGCAGCCAAACTCAGTGCCGTCAGCTGATTTAAAGGGCTTTTCTGCCCCGTCCTGTGTCTGCAGGGCTGCTTTTGTCTGTGTGTGTGTTTTTTTTTTTTAAATGAAAGTGTGCAGCAGCCTGTCCGGAGCCTCCTGCATTGCTTTCTGACAACCTGGGATTTTATGCATCATGCTTTTAATAAGCGCCAACAACACAGACGAGAAGCCTCTCCAAACTTAACCCCCACCACCTCCAACACACACACACACACACACACACCTCTTTAGGCTCCCTGATCCCTGGATTTACGGGCTTAGTATTAAGAAAATACTCCTGCAATTTGGGATTAGGCCCCAAAAAACCCTCACAACAACAATGACTCCGTCCATTTGATATCTTGATACTTGCGATCAATCGCTGGCTTTGTTGCCATCAGCCACAGCCAATTTCTGAGGAGGAAATGAGACAACAAATATTTCCAGCAAATTCACATTCCCCTGAACACAACCTGACATTTCTTTACTGTTGGTTTTACAGATATCTTTCTGCCTCAGACGTGGGTGCTTCCTGCAAAGGATTTAAATAGTGAATGGTTGGAATTTAGGATGTTTCCTTGTTAAATGTTACTTAATTTACTATTATGCTTATTAATGTAATTACTTTATTATTAATGTATGTATTTGTTGGCAAAATAATATACATTTCTCACACCATCCAGCTATCTTTCTACCAATAGTTAAGCGGAAAAATCACTTTTATTTCATCCTCTAAGTGCAGTCTGTTGATTTCATTCAAAGGTCATTTAAGTCAAATAATTCATGACAGCAGCTTTAATCGGCAGCTGCTCATGTGTGAGCCTGTAGTGCAGCTTTTTGCTGCCAGCTTGCTTTTCAACAGTATTTCCTTATTATTTTAAAAACTGAATCAGCTGGTTGAGGCTGTCAGTGTGGTTCAGGGATGAAGATACCTCACACAGTATTGGAGGGAATGGAGTTTAATGAAAGTATCTGAGCAGTAGGAGTATTAGCAGTGTGGCTCTCAGGGGTGCTCCCTTCTTTTTTTTTTTCATAGCTGCAATCATGTGGGCCTACTTTCTTTATGTCAGCACATGTGATGTTATCAGTTATCAATAATAGCCTCATTTTACACCTGATCCATGATGATAAAGATACAGAAAACTACACATATGGGTCAAAAATAGTATACTGTTAATATTTTAGACAACCCCCAAAAATTTAAAAATTCATGTTTTCATGTCTTGTTAACTCCCCCGGCTCCCCTGTAGTTCGCAGCCTGATATTTAGAGTGAAAATAAAGAATTATCTCATTTACAGCATGTTGGAAAGTCTTCTGTTGCAGCAAAATACTTTCATTGTTCCCATACAGCCTCCATTGGCTACAGTTGGTTTGTCATAAACCACATTTTATGCTAACTGTTTTTAGCCACCATATTATTTTATTGACAACAGAAAAAAAACTTTTCTTGATATGGCCGAACAGCGCCTAAAGAGGCCTGGTTGAGC